CAGGATAGTGGGCTGAGGAGCTGGGGAGACTGTTTAGATTTGGGTGTATGGGTACCTGTACAGAACATGCTAAATATGGACATTTGCTCCCTGTAAACCCACCTGCAATGATGTATCTGTACTGTCATGAAATCCCTCATGTGTGTTTCTCACATTCACTGGCACTCATGTTCTCTGTGCTCTCCATTTGTGTAAATGACTGTGATTCCAAATGGCAAGGTGTTGTATTCCTGTGAGAGGCTCAGTCAGTCCTGAAAATGAGGAAGGGCTTCAGCAAGATTCACAACTACAATTTTAAAAAGAGTAATGGCATTTCTCTCTAATTCCAGGCAAGATGGGATGAGCACAACAGCCGAACCCGCCTCAATGATCGTATCATCAGCGTGGACAGATGGAGAGAGGCCCTGGCCAAATGCCTCCCAGAGATTGATTTGGAAATTGATGCCTTAACCAAAGTATGTTGGGAAGGCAGATGGCTGGAAATGAACTTGCACTCTCAACACGGGATGTGAAATAACTGAGGCTTGTCTTGTGCAGTGGACAAGCCCATCTGGAGTTCAAGGGGGGGCTTCTCACTAGATATATTTGTGTATATATACATATATTTTATACTGAGATCCATACTTGATGGAATGACTTCCTGGAAAACAAACCACTATGTTCTTGGCTCAGCCAAGCCATGTCATGCAGCTGTATATTGCATGCTCCTGTTTGGATTTCTGGGTAGATTTTTTTTGTTTGGACATAAATCTCTGAAGGATAATAAGAAGTATGTTAACACCATCCTTCAAAAATTTTTGGGTTTAAATAGAGAATAGCAGTGGGAGATCTCTGATACTGTGAGTTCTAAACCCAGAGACTGCTGCTGCTTCTGGAGTTGTTAATCCCCAGCAAGGTGTGATTCTCAATGCAAATAGCAGGTGTAGAGGACTATGGTGTTTGGCTCTGGAAATTTTTATTCCAGACTTGATAAAAGTTTCAGAACTGCAAAGACAATGTGATCCCTCTTAATGATGGTATGGGTGGGTTCCCCTTCCTTTCTCTTTCCCATCTCTAAAAGATCCCTCCTACACATGGTTGATTGCTTCTTCCAGGTGAAGGAAGCAGCAGAAAATGCCATCCAGGCAAAAAACTTGTGTTTGGATGTTGCCATTGAGTGCCTGACGTTCCGTGAGAGTCGTCGTGACATTGATGTGGTGAGAGATCCTGTGGAAGAGGAGCTACTCAAAGAGGTGAAGGTGATTGAGAAAACCAAGAAAGAGCTGCAGCAGCGAGTGGATGATGCCTTCAAACAGCTCTGGTGAGGAGTGACAGCTTTTGGCTGATGACTGCTCTCTTTGCTTGGTCCCAGATACTTCATTTGCCTCTAATGCCACGCTGAGATGGGCAGGCAGGCAGGGAACTATGCACGAGCCCTGGATGATTTTCAGGGTCTGGGGTTTGCAGGGAAGGGTGTGTCAAGGGCAACTTCACAATCACCCTTTGGAAATTTTGTCCCAGATCTCTTGTACCACCTGCCCATTTAGGAATCAGTGGCCACACTGATTCCTAAATGCTCCCAGGCCCTGATACTCAGGGAGTCCTTTTCAGCTCCATTCTCCAGGGCAATAGCAGTGCAGGGTCCAAGGCAGCAAGGCAGGCACTGCTGGGTAGGTCGGGCCCATTTCCCAGGGAGTGTGGGAGCTCATAATTTACATCACAAAGTTGACTGACACAGTGATGAAAGCTTTGGGAATTGTGAGCTGCCCCTGCCCTGGGCCTGCTTCCCACTGACTCAAGCCTGGTTCTCTGCAGTCTCTTAAAGGAAGCTCGTCAGCAGCTGAGCTGTGATCACAGGCACAAGGTGGAAACATTGGAACTTGATCGGCAGTGCATGTCCTTCAATCCCACCTCTGGTAACATCTCCTTCAAGGTCAATCCAACACGGATCCCAGACGGGTAAGGAAAAAAAAATCTGTCCTTGTGTGGCCAAATCTGCCCCGAGCCCGGGGATACTTTTTACTTCCATGCTGTGGGGCTTGATGGGGTAGAGTTTTGGAGAGAGCTCAAAAGAGAAGTTGGCTGTGGCATAGGGAAGCCACAGACTTTTGGGAGATAGTCTTTGTTGCCACAAATCCAGCAGGGGCCAGGTGCCCTGCCTCCCTCCTGTCTGGCTGTAGGTGACACTCAGCAGGTGGTGTCACCTCTGTGCAGCTGGTCCCCCTGAGCTGTGCCATTTTCACTTGCCTGGCATTCCCTTCCATGGTTGGGATGTGTCCCTGGGTGGAGCAGATGTTGGGCCTGATGGGGTTCAGTTTCTGAGGAGATTAGGCAAGATGTGACCTCCAGAATAATTTTGTGCTGCCATCCTGGCCTGCAGCAGGTGGTTCCTTTAGAATGTCTTGCAAACACTATTTTTGTAACTGATTTGTTCACAGAACAACTGCACTTCATGAGTGGGAACTGAACAGCCAGTGCAACAAGGACCATGCTGAGGCAGAAATGAAAGCCTCAGTTGATCTCCGAGGAGCAATCACACTTAGCATTGCCCAGGTAAACTGCTCTCTTGGCCCAGAATCTGTGATGCCATTCTGGATCTGGTGTGGGAGAGTAGCAGGCATGTCTCTGTATCTGTTTGGAAGCAGTTGCCCTCCTAGTTTAAGTAGGAGTTTGGTTATACTGCAGAGCTTGTAGCAGTCTCAGCAAGCTGGAGGACATGTCCTTGTCCATTGATCCCTGCCTTTTGGCTGCTGGGGGAGTGTGACCTGCACGCATGTGGCAGTAACCAAACCCAAGTTTTGCTCCTGGGCTTGTCCCAGCCTTCCAGGCACAGCTTGGGGGAGACACAGACACCTTGCAGCCATGTGTGACTGGAGCCGTTCTCTCCTCAGACAAACAATGAGCTGGATGCTCAGCGTATAGCTACAGAGTTCGCACTGAGGAAGAGGATTAGAGACATGGAAGGAGCCCTTAGTGAGCTGAGATGGCAGGAGCAGAATGTAAGTGTTGTTTCTTTGGTCATCGACTACAACCCTGGCTGGGAATGGAATCCCAAAGGCTGTTTGTTACATGGAAAGTGATTTGGCCTGAGCATAGTTTCCACACGTTTGCTGTTCAGTGGCACACATACAACCCCAGCAGTATCCCACCTCTCATAAGTGCTTTTCTGGCACTGCTTGGCAGCACTGCCAGGTTTGGGCCTTTTTATCTCACCCCTTGTCTCAGCAGCAACATCCTGATCCATATAGAAGCCGAGGATTCAGTCCTCAGAAGCCCTTGAGTAAAATCTATCCAGCACAGTAACATTCCCACAGAAATGAGGAGCAGTTTCCCAGTCTGTATCTTGGGCTGTCCCTCATGACACGTCTATCCTTAGACCTTGGAGGAAATTGCTGAAATGGAGGAGGAGATCCGGCAGCTGGAGGAAGATCTCCGGAAGAGAACACTGGATCTGAAAGTGGCTCACACCCGCCTGGAGACGCGCACATACCGGCCCCACATTGAACTCTGCCGGGATCAGGTACCTCACATGGCGTGGTCCCTGCAGGGAACTGACTGGGAGTGGGGCTTTGAAAAACATGGATGAGTTTTGGAGCAGCTGAGCAATGGATCCTACAGTGACAGAGCACAGCAAGGAAATGTCAGAGCTGGGGGAGAGGGAAGTGAAGGAACTGTGGCCTTTGACAACACCCTGTTAAGTGCTGTCCCCTCCTCCCTGCAGGCTCAGTATGGACTGACCGACGAGGTCCAGCAGCTGGAGGGGACAATCCGTGTGCTCCAGAAGAAGCGGACAGAGTCACAGTGAGTGTGCTGCTGCCCAGGAACAGCAGTGCTCAGCACGGGCCTGAGCGGATGAGGCTGTGGGTGTCCCTGCTCTGGGCACGCCTCCAGCCTCTTAGTGCTCGTGGTACTTGGGCTCATGAGGGGCAGCAGTGTTTGGGCTTGGTGGGTGCAGGATGCAGGCACAAGGGTCTGTGCTGGAATGGGAGTGAGGCTCCTCTGACCCCTGCTTGACTCTGAATTCATCCAGGCCCTGGCTGGGCCAAAAGGGACAAAAAAAGAGAGTAACAAGGAAGGAACAGAAGTGCTGCTGTGTGCTGGCAGCTCCCTGGGTGCACATTTCTTGCTGCCCTCCCAGAGCAGTGTGCAGCCTCGCTATTCACTGCCCCAAACAATAAGTATCTGATGAGTTTGCTCTTTGTACAGGGCCAAATGCTGCCAGAAAGTGGGAAGTTGGGTGTTTCCTGTCCAGTTTAAAATCATGGAATATCCTGAGTTGGGAGAGACACACAAGAATTACTGAGACCAACTCCTGGCCCTGCACAGGATACCCCAACAATCCCACCCTGTGCTTGAAAGCATTTTCCAAATGTTCCTTGAGCTCTGGCAGGCTTAGTGCTGTGACCATTCCCTGGGGAGCCTGTTCCTGGGAAGCACTGCAGCATTTGATCCCAGCTCCTGTCCCATCTGCTCATTCCTAGGGATGCCTTGGATGCTCTTTACCGACAACTTCACCGAATTCAGACTGATATTGGCTACAAAACCAATTCTCTGCAGCTGGACAACAAGTGCATGGACACCCGGAAAAAGCTTGTGGTCCCCGTGGAAAAATTTGAACCAGAGGTCGATGCCATCAACCGCACCAGGAACCTGCCGAGGAAGAGTCAGCTGGAGCTGGCTTAGCCTACAGGGAATTGTGCAAGCGCGGGGGAAAACTCCCGGTGATTCAGTTCCATAGCGAGGAAAAGCGACATCTGTGTCGCGTTTTGGGAGAATGGAATTCTCCTCCTAGTTTGTTTTGTAACTGTCTGGCCCTTAGATGATGTTTACAGCCTCCCGCGCTCCGAGGAGATTTATAAACAATAAAGGGCCTGTCCCCAGTTGTCATCCGCGATGATTAAATCCAGCTGGATTCCAGGAGGGATTAAAGGAGCAGGCGGCTGTGCTGTGGGCAGCTCGGTCCTCCGGGCCGCTAGAGGCCGGTGTGCTCACTGCCCCCTGGCGGCCCGGAGGAAGAAGGCGCCGCGCACGGCAAGATGGCGGCGGCGGGTCCTGCTTCAGGCCCCGGGCGGCTCCCGGCTCGTCCCCGGCCAAGCCTCGCTCGGTTCCGGGGCTGCTTGGCCGGGGCGTTGTTGGGTGATTGCCTGGGAGCTGTTTTCGAAGGCAGGAGCGTCGTGAAGCTGCCGGAACTGCTGAGTTTCCTCAAAGGGCTGGAACCGGCGCCGCCTGAGGAGGGAGGGGAAGCGGCAGGGAGCACACGTGGAGGTGCGTGGGGGGGAGCGTGGCACATCCCCTGGTCCCCCTTCACAAACCCCGCACGGCACTCGGCACCCCAGAGGTTCGGGTTAGGTCCCAGAACTCCCCTGGGTGTTCTGGCTTTGGGATGTTTGTGCCCCAGTCCCTCAGCACCCCCAGGACTGGGCTTTGGGGTGCGCCCAACCTGAAAAACCTGCAACACTTCTGCTCCACTGAAACGTGGGACCCCCAGGTCCTTACCCCTCACCTGGTTATGTGGCATTCTCTGCTGTGACTGCCCTGGTTGTCCCCTGCCCTGCTCTGGGCCCCTGTGCTGTGGGGATTCAACACCCATGCCTGATTTCCTAGGAATTCCTTAGGGACAGCGCTGATGCAGAGGGACGTGTGGTTTGCTCTGCTCGGCGTGCTGCTCCTACTCCAGGGAGCTGAGGTGGAGTGTGCTGTGAATGGGTGCGACAGTGCTGGGGTGTCAGCAGTGAGCAGTGCTACCAAAACTTGAGTACAAGAGCGAGAGAAGAACAGAGTTGTTATTCAGCTCTTAGGAAGTGATTGCAGCCTTCCAGTGTATGAGAGGAGTCTGCAGGAAAGATTGAGTTTATTGACAAATGGCTGGAGTGACAGGACACAGGGAATGGCTTCCCACTGCCAGAGAGGAGGGTTAGATGGGATACTCAGAAGGAATTCTTCCCTATGGGGGTGGAGAGGCCCTGACACACAGGTTACCCAAAGAAGGTGTAGCTGCTCCATTCCTGGAAGTGTTCCCGGCCAGACTGGATGGGGCTTGGAGCAACCTGGGATAGTAGAAAGTGTCCCTGCTCATGTCAGGAAGTGGAACAGGGTGGGTTTTAAGGTCATTTCCAACCCAGACTATCCTGGAAATCTGTGATTCTGTGTTGGCCTGACTCTTGTCCATATATATGCCTCTGGATGTCATACATTTTCTCCTTGCTCTTACTAATCTTGAAGTATATTCTGTGTCATTATAGCTGTGGATGCAGCTCCCTGGCTGTGTCTCCTTACTCTGACAACCGTGGCAGTGTCAACCTCAGAGTGCTGGAGAACTTAAATTCCAGACAGATTTGAGTTGGAAGGCACCTTAAAAATCATCCAATTCCACCCCCTGCCATGGGCAGGGACACCTTCCACTGTCCCAGGTTGCTCCAAGCCCTGTCCAACCTGGCCTTGGACACTGCCAGGGATCCAGGGACAACCACAGCTGTTCCAAGCAATTTGTGGCAGTCAGGCCTTGGAGATGAGGGTGGTGCTGGCAAAGGGCAGGAGCAGTTTGTCTGTGGCTGCTGGTGTCACTCTTTGCCCTCCCGTTGCAGAGTCGCTGCCGTACACGGATGACACAGCCATGAGCAGGTCGGTGGTGCAGTCACTTCTGGCCAAGCAGGAGTTCGATGAGGTTGACATGGCCAAGAGGTGAGGATGAGGCTTCCTGAAGGTGTAACCATCACTGTGACTGTCTGTGGAAGGGGTCAGGGCCTGAGGCAGACTAATTCTAATTATTTAAAGTTAGGAAAGAGGTGGTTAATCCTTTTGTTTGTTGTTGCTTTGCCATGCCTGGGACATGCAGCAGCGTCAGCTTCAGTGTGGAGTCAAGCTGCCTTGACAGGGCAGTGCTACTGTGTGTCAGCTTTGTGTGTGTTCACCTTTGGGGAGGAGAATGCTTAGAGAGTCCAGAAACATTTTGTTTCATGTTTATTTGTTGCTATTTATGTTTGTACTACCCTTAATTTAGAGAGAGAATAGCAGTGAGTTCAGCTTGACTTTATGATCTGTTTTCCTGTTGAATCCCCAGCCCTGAGAGCATTTGGTTCCACTTAAGGGAAAGCATTTCTTTGTTTAGAAAACTCTTCCACTGAACTTGAACAAAAGACTTTCCTTGTGGTTGTGACCCTTGGAAATGTTTCTAGTTTGCTTCTATTTTGAGGCAGAGTTGAGAGGGAAACAGTGGGTTATGGAAGGTGATGTTTATACATCCTTCTTTCACACTGTTCTTTGGGAATTGTTTCCCTGCAGAACTGAATCACTGAGCCTGACTGTCACTGATTTACATGTGTGTTATTAATTCACTTTAGCAAGAGGCTTCATCCAATCACAAACCCCAAGTAACAGACCAAACCCCTGGGTGTTTTCCCACCCTGCCCATACCAGGTTTGCTGAGGAATACAAGAAGGAGCCCAACAGGGGCTATGGGATGGCCGTGGTCAATGTCTTCAAGAAGCTCCTGAGCCCCAAGTGCAACGATGTGTTTGAGCCTGCTAGAGCCCAGTTCAATGGGAAGGGCTCCTATGGGAATGGCGGGGCCATGAGAGTGGCCGGCATCTCCCTCGTCTACTCTGACGTCCAGGATGTCAAGAAGGTAATGGAACATTCTGGGCTTCTCTGGGTGTCCCTGCTGCCAGGGGAGTGTCCCAGGAAGCTTTTCTGACACTGGGGTGTCTCTGGCAGTTTGCGAAGCTGAGCGCAGAGCTGACCCACGCCAACTCCCTGGGCTACAATGGGGCCATCCTGCAGGCCCTGGCTGTGCACCTGGCACTGCAGGAAGGGCTCAGCAGGGAAACCTTCCTGGAGCAGCTCATCAGCCACATGGAACATGTGGAGGCAAATGACAAGTCTCTCAGTGATGCCCGAGCGTGAGTAGCTTGGGGAAAGCCCCAGCCCTGCTGTGGTGATTTGTTCTGGCTCTTCACGTTCTCTCCTCTTGACTGTACTCTCACTTTGCAGGCTGGGGTTTGAGGATTTACCATTTTCCAGGCGTCTAAAGAAAATCAAGGAATTTTTGGAGCTCAGCAGTGTTCCCAAAGCAGATGTATTGTTTGAGTTGGGTGAGTACGTTTCTTAGTACAAGTATTAGGAAAGCTGGAAGCAGGACTAACTCAGCAAGCCTGGTAGATGTATATTCCCCCAGATTCCTCTTCAGCCTGTGCTGCCTGTCAGGTACAGAATGTGCTGAAAAAGCAGCCTGTGCTTACCAATCAGGAATTCTGAGTCTCAACCCAGTGATTTTCTCTATGTATTGATATGAAAAAAATGTCTTGCTAAGGGAAATTTACATTGCTTAATGTTTCTTAATATTCCAAGATCTCTTTAAGGGCTATTGGGCCATCATGTTGAATGGGAATGAGTAGATGTGTATGGCCAGGCTGTACTGGGGTAACTGGGAATTGCTCTGCAGGATGTGAGTGGTACTGGGGAACTGGGGAGTTTCTGAGGGACAAACTTATGCACCTTTTCCTGGTAAAATCCATGATATCGTTATGGAAAGTTACTGGCAACATCAAGTTGCAGTAGGAAGGGAAAAGGATGGAAGCCCAGAGGGTACTGACAGGGTGTGTTCCAGGCAATGGCATCGCTGCACTGCGCTCCGTCCCCACTGCCATTTACTCCTTCCTGCGCTGCATGGACACTGATCCTGACATTCCTGACCACTACAACGCCCTGCAGAGAACCATCATCTTCTGCATCTCCCTGGGGGGAGACACGGACACCATCGCCACCATGGCGGGGGCCATTGCCGGCGCCTATTACGGGGAGGAGCAGGTGCCCCCGAGCTGGGAGCAGAGCTGTGAGGCTTTCCAGGAGACCCAGAGGATGGCCAAGAGCCTCTATGAACTCTACTGCCAGCGGCTCTGAGCTCTGGGGCAGCACCAGGGCTTTTCTGAAGGCGAAGGAATGGTCAGCTCTGCTTCTCTGGTCAGACCCAGTGGTGGATCTGCATCATCGGCCAACGCCAGCGAACCTCACCTGGGAAGGGTTCTTGCTGCTGGGAGCTGGGAGCCAGCGCCAGCTTGGAAAAGAGGGGACATCCCCCTCAGTCACAGATCAGCTGGGAAGTGGCTGCACTTGGACAGTGGGTGTAGCTCCCTGAGTGTACATAAGTGTCTCATTTCCATAGGATTTCTGCTGCTTGCTTTGTCCACCATTGTGCCATTTGTCATTGCAGTTACTGGCAGGTGTCTGAATCTGCGGACATTCTCCCTGTTTTACTCTGCTCCTGTGTCTGTGGGCTGTTTTGGTGGTCAGTGGCTTGTCCAGTGGCTTTGGGATGATCCACACTCCTGGTACAGCAGCAGGTCATCCTCAGCTGGCCAAATAAGGGATGTCATAAGAGTCACCAGAGAGGCCTGATGGCCCAGGTGTCACCTATGCTAAATTGGGATAATGGAGTGTAGATTTCTGGGAAGGTTTGTTGCCTTAAAGGCAGAATGAGAAGGGCCAGTGAAGGGAGAAGGGATTTCTTTCATTGCTGATGGCTCTGTGAGAAACCTTTGATGCCTGCAGACAATCTCAGCTGGCTCATTGTCCCTGCTGGTGTCACTAATTGCTGCTCTCTTCCTCGTCTTTGACCCTATGATCCAGCAGGCACGTGCTGCACTTTGTGCCCCCTTGCACAGCTGCTGTTACACTGCTGCAGCCACTCTGGCTGCTCCCATGTTCCTAATCCATGCATCCTGTATATGCCCAGAGCACCAAGTGACATTCCTGTTTGAATTACAGAGTACCCCAAACTGAAACAGATCCACATAAGAGTCCAGCTTCTGTGGAGTGCAGATCTGGGAGTGGAGGTAGTACAGGGATAGAATGCCTGGTTCTGCTGCAGTCAGCCACAAAAGTGACTTGAGCAGGATGCAGGAGGTCACTTATCACAGTCTTAGCCTCTGTACTTGGTAAAAACTGCCCCAAAATTAAAGGGAAAGGTGGGTTAATTGGGGACATCAGTATTTAAAAGAAGCTGGTACTGGTGGCCAAGAACATTCTAGCACAACTGTGTTCCAGAATTTTACATTTAAAACCTTTTCCTAGTGGAGCTGGTCAAAAAGGGAGAAACAGCTTGGGAATGGCACATCTATAAAGGGTTGGAAACTGTTTAATAATTGAAAACAAAAAGTCTTCATATGGAAATGTTTATAAACTTAAATGTAACAGTGTAACTCTTGTTATTTCTCCAGTATGTCTTGTGACACTGGGAAATGGCCATGGTGCTCCCCAGTGGTGTCAGCACATGGTGGCTGTGTTAGGCTGCATGCACATGTGGGGATCTGGCTGCCATGGGTCCTTCCAGTTTTCCCTGTAGTCTGCTTCCTTCAAGTTCCAGTCTTTTGTGTGATGCTCTAAATGGGTTTTCCTTGTATAAATGGATTCTTGTCTTGGGAACATGTGGAATTTTTGTCTGTTGTATATTTTTGTATTGTGCTGCAGATCTGAGCTGTAAAATAACAGGTTTTCTACATTATTCTGCCAGAGGGGCAACCAGGTTAATGTAATTATGTAAAAGAAGATATTTTTCTTTTCTTTAAAAGAAGCAGCTTTATAATTTTAAATGTTTGGAACTCCTGACAAGCAAAGAGCTCCTGTTTAAAGACTAGAGCCCTAGTTTCCTTGGAAAGAAGTAAAATCCCTCAGTTATCTTTGTTAAATAGCCACTGCTTTGCTGTTTTCACTCAAGTCATGAAGTTGTGCATCCTCAGTGGCAAGAGGACCAGGAGTGGTTCTTGGTACAAGGGTGAGTTGATGCTGGGCATTGCAGGGAGGGCCTTTGGAAAGGCCCCTTTTCCTTAGCCTGTGGAAGGAGTTCAGGTGCTGGAATCCAGCATGTGATGATGGTGCAGAGACCAGGGAATTCACTTGGAACCGCATTAGGCAGGAGGATGGCTTTCTCCTTGGAATGAGCTTTTGAAGTTGCCTGTGTGTCAGCCAAGCTTCCCTGGAAAAGTTTTGCCTCTGCCAGGTGAGATCAGGTGGGAAAATTCTTCTCTTTGGACTGTGCGCCTGTGAAGGTGCTTTACAGGTAAGTCACCAGTCCTGAGTGTTCCTGACTCACTCAGGATGGAGGCTGGCTGTGCACAAGGTGTGTGATGTAGGATAAAAAAAATCATGAGGAAAAAAACACATGGAAAGAAAAGGGAATTCTAAGACTTCAACTTGAGTCACTCAAATTAAAAATCACCAGCTGTAAGGACATGGATTTCAACCTTTTCTAAAACTGAGTTTCTGGAGTCTTAATCACAAGAAGCATGCAATAATGTTTTGCATAAGGCTGTTAATTAGGGAATGTGCTGGGAATAAGCGAGATGATTTGAGGTGGGAATACAGTGTAAGAGAACTGTATGAGACAGAGTAAGTCCCAGGACAAAGCACAGCTGAGCCCACCCTCTATACAGTAAGTTTTATTGATGTTTGTCAATACAATCAAGTACTGCAGTTTTAGTTGTGAAGAGCAGGTCAGTTTTGGGTCACAAAGAGTGCATTTTAAACCAACTTTTACTAGGACAGTGCATGTAGTAAGTATTTACAAAACTAAAAACCTCTATATACTAGGTTAAAAATGAAGATACTAGAGGCAAATTTAAAAAAAAATAGTAAGAATTTGTATATAAAAATGCACAACTAATGCAGTTTTCAGCATTAAAAATAGACATACCTCATCCAACCCAACCTTTTTTATTCTTGTGATTGAAACCAAAATCCCATGCGCTCACACACACAACAGAAAATAATCCTTTCTGCTGGCTAATATGTACTCAGTATTCCAGAAAAAAACCCCTTCGGAAGAGTGAACAGCCTCCCTCATCCTGTGCATCTTTTTTTTTTTTTTTAGCCTAACTATGTGCGTGTAATATCTTTGCTTTCCATTAGTGTGTAAATGTAAGAGGTTAAATAGCTGTGAGGGGTGGTTATGGGTTCGCTCTGCACGTGAAGGGAAAGTGGAATTACAAAACAGTATCTACAGCACAAACTCAATATGGGGGTGGTTACAGTGAGAAGTTTGGTTGTTGCTTTTTGCCAGCTTGAACAAGAAGTCTGGAATGAAGCAGAACAGAACAAGAAGAGATGGGCTGTAGATTAGGCACAGTATAAATAAGTCGCTTTGAGGAGCAGCATGAAGCTCCCACCAGGCGTGGCAGCTCCTGGCCCTGTGCAAGGCTGGACCAGCTCAAATCCCTCTGTTCTCCACAGAAAAGGAGACAAATCCCCTCCCAGAACCCTCCCTTACCAAACCTGGGCTTGGAAAAATCATCTAAGCTTCCACTTTTAATTTTAGGGACTGTTCCTGTTCCTGCTGGGAAATAACCTGTTAGGACCACAACCCAAATGGTCCTGACCCTGCTCTCAGGAGTTAAAAACGTCCAGTGGGATCAGACACCTTTCAGCTTGAGGAGTTTCATCTCTGCATGAAACTTGCAGCTTTAAGGAGAGAAATTCACAGGGAGGGGACACACAGTCCCAACAGGCAGTGCCCAGAGCACTGGCCTTCCAACTGCAAATTTCCTTCTTGTGTTTCTTAATTTCAGGGATAGGTGAGTTTTTAAAAGGAAGGCCTGAATGGCAAGAGACAGAAACACAGGACAGGCTTGAGGAGAAAACAAACAAGCAAAACGGAAATAGGAAAAGTTGTTTAAATATCTCAAGAGTCCATCTGGAAACAAGCCCAGTCCCAGTCTTACTGCATTTCTTTGGCCATCAGACAGGCTTTAGGAAAATGCAAAGCTCAGAGCTGGTGACCAAATTGTTGCTGTTTCTCAGGGATGTGCCTTTGCAGAGGGACATGCAGTGGAATATGCACATGGATTGACTGCAGCAGCATGCTCCTGGCCTGGGATGTGCAGCATCCCTGTCCTGGAAGTGGCAGTGACTGCTCTACTTTAACAAAACCTGCAGAGCCACAAGATCTGTGTGGGGCAGTGTCATCATGCCTGGCCTAGAGCTCTGTAGCTCATGCTCAGGTCAGTAATGCTCCAAGCATTAGAGAGACAAAGTGGTAACGACAGGCAACCTAAGTCACGGAGTGGCCCCAGGGCTGGTGCCCTGTCACAGGTACGTATTGCACTACACTTGTAAATGATGTTCTTAAATGGGTCTTAGCACCATGGTGAAATCACTGCTTGGAAAGTTAGAACCAGCACTATTTTTTCTTAATTCCAAGATCCCCAGAGAAAGGGGGGACACCAATGCAAGAGTTCACACATCCCAAAATAGTGAGACAAGAAAAGCAAGTTGTCCATCAGTGGCACTTCCTTATGTCACACCAGCTGGCAGCACCGTGAGCTGGCCTCACATTGCCATCCTTATGTGAGCAGAGATGCTCCTGAGGCCAAGCAAGTCTTTGGGCTGCAGAGACAGACAGGACAGGACCAGCCCTTGGACTTCCCAGCAGGTGAATGGAGAGAGCAGATCGTTGTTCATCATGAGGGTCCCAGCTTCCCTCACTGCCTGCAACCGGTCGTGGCATCCTCCCAGGTACCAGTGCCTGGATGATTTTATTCCTAAAGGTGCTGGGGGGGAGGGTTAAAAATAATATTTACTTCTTAGAAGAAGGTGCTTATGCAAAGTGTTCCACTCTTTAGGATTATAAATCCAACCATACTGAATCCGGAGTGAATTGGAGAGACTGCCCCAAAGCACAGTCTGGAAAAACAGGTGTCAGCGAGCCTGAAACTTGGGCATCTTATGGTTTGGAAGGAAATTTCTCAATCCAGCGTGGATCCCTGCTGCTGTACGGATCTGTGTAAGTGCCCGGGACCCTGCGTTGGTTACCAAACATGCCAGCCATGACACAGCTGGATTTATTTATCTAGCATTCCAAATGGGAAATGAGGGCACTTGATACAGACCACAGGGGTCTGGTCTTCCAGCTGACCCTCTCTGGGTCACACAGCCAGATCCTTGCCATCCCAAGTGTGTTCCTGTGTTTGATGTCCATTCACTGGGGTATTTATTCCAAATGTGCTTTGTTGAGGAAGTTGCTCCCCTCCCTCCCTTCTCCCTCCCCCCCAAAAAGAAAGGTACATGGATAGATGTCTCCTTCCCAATTACTCTCGACTCCTGGATCAAACAGCGTGAAGCAAGGTCTCATGACAATGTCTTGCGCGTTCTTCCCAGTGATTTTTCTTTTTTGCATTAATTTTAAAACACTTTTTTATAAAAAAAAAAAGAGAAGACAGTTTATGGCTAAAGTGGGTGAAAAGGAAAAGTGCCCAACAGCCGTTATGTGGGGCAGAGCAGGAACCCAGAGAAGGAGGAGTGGATGTATTCCGTGGAGTACAGCCCATTGGCCTGGTCCGAGGGCATTTGTACCCAGACCTGGTCATTCTCCTTGAGTTCAAGCACAGCACTGCCCGAGGCCTGGTCCAGGTACCCCTTTTTGTACTCATCATAGGTGTAGGTGGCCGGCACGTTGTTCTTATACAATGCCACCCAAACGTTGGTCCCTTTGACGTGCACATGGTAGGCAAAGTAGTAGATTCCAGATATGGGGCAGGTGAAGATCCCGGTGACTGGGTTGTAGCCATTGTGTCCATTATACAAGGTCCGGTCAAACTTGACGGGCATGCCGGATGCGGGGAACGGGGAGGTGAGGATGGCAGTGAAGGCCGGGGCGATGCGGGCAGCAAGCTCTCCACGGCCATACTGAGGCTTGCCCGGCTTCCCGTTGCCCAGCACAGCTCCCTCCACGCCACCGTCTGGCAGGTGCAGCCCTGCGATGCCCGTCTCGTCCAGCACCCCGGGCGCTCCTGGTGGCCCAGGTGGCCCCGGTGGGCCTGGTGGCCCGTTCAGCCCCGGTGTTCCCGGCATTCCAGGCGGGCCGATAGGTCCAGCCATGCCAGGCTCGCCGGTCTTCCCCTCACCGGGAATGCCAGGGAGACCGGGCTCCCCTTTCAAGCCAGGTAACCCCTGAGGCCCCATGGGACCAGCAGGTCCTTGCAATCCCGGGATGCCGGAGGGGCCCCTCAGCCCCGGCTGCCCCGGGATCCCACCGTCCCCTTTGGGCCCGGGGCCACCCGTCAATCCAGGCACCCCCGGAAGGCCGATGAACCCTGGTTCACCTTTGGGGCCCGTTGGGCCGGGAGGTCCCAGTGACCCGGGCAGGCCCCTTTCTCCCGGCACCCCCGGCTTCCCCGCGAAGCCGTTCGGGCCCTGGTCTCCACGCATCCCCGGCATTCCCGGGGGCCCGCTCGGCCCCACGTCCCCCTTGGG